TTAGCGGCATGTTGCTTATGGAATTGACTTGTTTGTACAAAGAAGTATTACGAACAACCTTTAGATAGATCACACCAGAATGTATAAATCTAATTGCCTCTTACGGCCTTGTTCCAAAGTTCCTCGACATCTTAGATCGGTCTATATCAAAATACTACCTTACTACTCTGTACGTACGAGTTCGTACAAACTGAAAATATGTTTAAAAATACTTGGTAATAGATTTTGGATAAAGAAGACATATACAATTAACAAGAAATAAAATAGAAAACATAAATAATAATGAGAAAAACTACAGAAACTTTTTAAAATCTTCAAAAAAAAATCTTAGATGCCAATGTAACATAATAACATAAGGGGGTTTCAGGTCCTCTAAAAAGGCAAAACAATCTTATTGAATCAAATCAGACCAATGTAAAAAGATATTGTATCACATAGACATGGTCGGCCCTGAGATTTAGAGTATGTAGTATTTTCTATGTAAAAAAAATTTGGAGGTCTAAAAAATTTTTACTCATATAATTTTCTTCAAAATTTTTGAGAGTTTGAGACAAATGTTTCACTAGACATATCCCAAGACCGACCCTGCACATAAAAAATCGAAGCCGAACATTCGTTAGACAGGAAGCTGCTTGTAGTTGTAGAACAAAGCTTGTGTCCGAGAAAAAAGTTGTCCCTTTGCTTCGACTTCCTCTGTGGTAAAGTGGCATCTAAGATTTGTTTTTGAAAAAAAAAAAAATTTAAAAATATTATGTAGTTTTTTCTAATTTTATTTATGATTTCTTTTTTCGCTTATTAATTATTTTTTTAATTAAATAAATTAGAAATGGACACGTCATCTTATCTACAAGTACTCATGTCATATTTTTTTATTTGATGAATAAATAAATCAAACTAAAAAAAAAATATGATACAAAAACTAATTTAAATATTTAAAATGCTAGTGAAATCATTTCAACGTTTAGAAGTGTTAGCATATACTACTAATGTTTTTCTGTAGAACTCTCCACATCCTTAAACAGTTAAATTTGAGAATCAAAGAACATATAATAACTTGAATAACCATGTAACTGTGAAATTAAAGCCTGTGAATTTAATTATATGTAAATAAGCATTAATATATTAGACAAATCAACCATTAAAATTGAAAATATAGTATACAAACCTAAATTATTTTGCAATAAACTAAAATATCATATATTATCGGATGAAGTATATATGTTCTTTTTCAAACAAGCAAAAATGCTGTACGATTTATAGGTAGTACAACTATAATTTCATTGGAGTTTACAATCCTGAAGTTTTTTTTAATTTTGACATCACAATCCGGAAGATTAATTAATATACGGCGAGGAGAGTCATATTCGAATAATGTTCATTGCATTTTTATTATCCAAAATAGTTTTATATATATATGTATCTGTTTGACAAAATATATATATATATATGTATCTGTGAGAATTAACAAATTGCTGATTTGTACATATAGACAAAAACAAATTAAAAGCTACTTCTGGGAGAAAGGAAATAACCAAAGTAAAATGAAGACTCACGAGAGTGTTTTTCGGGCCATCACGTGTCTGCGAAACGTTTTTGGTTTTTCAGACCACTTGTTAAATCAATCGACCAATCCCATTTCAGATTTCTATTTTCATTATTTATTTTATGAAGTTGTTATTTAAAACATAATTATCTTTTTGGTAAAATAACGTAGTTATCTTCTTCTTTTTTAAAAAAAAAATAATTATCTTTTGTTTTCTCCCCATAGACTTTTTCCTTTTTTGCCTCTGGCTTTGTTTGATTCAACCTTACCAACCGTGTGTCGATTTGTTGTGTTTGTCTTAATTAGGTGACACTAATATTTTGGAGGTACAATAGTTCAGAAGCAAAAATATGATATACAAATATGAGAAGTGCAATCTTATTTAAAAAGGAGAAATACAATACTATTTGTCTCCATTTATATCAGATTATATCTATCCTATACTCTATATATAAAAATAAATTGTCCCTAACTTCTTAAAACTGCATATCCTGTATTCACAAGTAATAGATTGCTATGCTGTGTTCATGACAACAGCAGTACGCCAGTACCTAGTTGGTTTTGTATGGACCACGAGTATATAATATATTGTCCAAGAAACAAAACCAAACGTAGTCTGAGTTCATGGGTCAACTGTTTAATTACTGACGAATGTATAAAAATGTTCAAAAAGATTTAAGAAAAGAGACCAATAATCAATAACAATCCGGAAAGAGAAGTGTGGGCAACATACATGACTGGATGTTGAGTGACTATTATTTGGTATGAAGATGCAAGTGGAGCTTGTAGATGTCAATGGTCTTCCGTGACTAACTAGGCGACGAAGTCACTGATGCTGGAGGCATTAATCGTTACTACATAAGGCAAGCGGAGTGGTAGAGACCATGTGGATGCAAGATGCTGAGCTGGCGTGGGATAAACTTGAGGAGCAAGTTTATACCGTGGAGAAAAGGCAAGAGATAAACTTGGAGAGCAAGTTTATGCCTTGAGGAATAAGTACAAATCCAAGAAAAAGAAAGTGTACTTATTAATATGGAAGTTGTCTATATATCCATGTTGCCTTGGAGACTAGGGTTTCAGGAACGTGGAGATCACTATAAAAGAGCTATGGAGTCGTGTGTATTCCATAAGACACTTGGGGCTTTTATTATAGAGGAAGGGTGAAAATCCCTTAGGGTGTTCTTGGGTCGTGCTGAAGCAGATGCTGAAGCATACGACGATGGAGAGACAAGTTTGGGTAGATTNACGTGGAGATCACTATAAAAGAGCTATGGAGTCGTGTGTATTCCATAAGACACTTGGGGCTTTTATTATAGAGGAAGGGTGAAAATCCCTTAGGGTGTTCTTGGGTCGTGCTGAAGCAGATGCTGAAGCATACGACGATGGAGAGACAAGTTTGGGTAGATTAGGAATCTTTCAGTAGCAGCTGTTAGGGTGTTAACAGACTGTGTAAAACTGATAAACAAGGTCTTGTAATAGATTGTTTAAAGCTGATTTCTAATAAAGCAAAGGTGTTGCTTGTATCTATTTTGTCTCTTGATTTATCTTCTGCAGTACTATATTGTGGTATCATCTTTGCACTTACAATTGGTATCAGAGCGGATCACCTAAGTTACTGGTGTGATCCTGAAGGTGAAGATGTACACGGTTGTTTGCAGAAGACAATCATGTTGGTTGATGGCCAGTTTGGTCATGAGAAGGTGCGCATGAAGTTGTTGGTTCGAGGAATCAATGAGGGTGCGTGGATAGCTGTGAAGACTGTGTGGGAGGAACCCTTGGTGGTCACAGCAGAGGGGAAGAAGTCCAAGTCGAAGGAACAAGACAAGGCAAAGAGTTGTTCGAGAAGTAGTTCGGCGGATGCGTCAGAGGCTGATGCAGTACACATGAAGGAGCAGACGGTGTGTCTGTGAAAGAAGGCTTGACATCTAAGCATCTGTGTTTTAGCTTAGTATGCAATCAAGCAGGGGGAGAAGTGGTGACGTTCTGGTCCAAGGAGTGCATATCTCGTGGGGGAGAAGAGCATGGTGATGGACGTCCTGATGTAGATGGTGCATATCTCGTGGGGGAGAAGAGCATATCTATGTATGAAGATGAAGATAGTGCAAGTCTCGTGGGGGAGAATTGCATATCGAGTGTGGAAGTTTCCAGGTGAGGAAACGTGGTTGTTGAACCAGAAGAATATTGTGCTTGATTGGCACACAAAGCTAAAAGGGGGAGATTGAAGATGCAAGTGGAGCTTGTAGATGTCAATGGTCTTCCGTGACTAACTAGGCGACGAAGTCACTGATGCTGGAGGCATTAGTCGTTACTACATAAGGCAAGCGGAGTGGTAGAGACCATGTGGATGCAAGATGCTGAGCTGGCGTGGGATAAACTTGAGGAGCAAGTTTATACCGTGGAGAAAAGGCAAGAGATAAACTTGGAGAGCAAGTTTATGCCTTGAGGAATAAGTACAAATCCAAGAAAAAGAAAGTGTACTTATTAATATGGAAGTTGTCTATATATCCATGTTGCCTTGGAGACTAGGGTTTCAGGAACGTGGAGATCACTATAAAAGAGCTATGGAGTCGTGTGTATTCCATAAGACACTTGGGGCTTTTATTATAGAGGAAGGGTGAAAATCCCTTAGGGTGTTCTTGGGTCGTGTTGAAGCAGATGCTGAAGCATACGACGATGGAGAGACAAGTTTGGGTAGATTAGGAATCTTTCAGTAGCAGCTGTTAGGGTGTTAACAGACTGTGTAAAACTGATAAACAAGGTCTTGTAATAGATTGTTTAAAGCTGATTTCTAATAAAGCAAAGGTGTTGCTTGTATCTATTTTGTCTCTTGATTTATCTTCTGCAGTACTATATTGTGGTATCATCTTTGCACTTACATGGTAAAGAGTCGAGAGTCGACACTCGTGGGTCGTGACAACCTTCTCTCTTTGTCTCTCAGCTTTATAAAGGTCTTACGTTTGATTTTTAAATTTTCATTTTTCATTTTTCATGCAACAATCCTTATGTGTAAGGTTGTATACTTTTAATATTATAATGTTATGATAATCTTCTTTCTGTTTATTTATTTGTTCATCTCGTCTTGCTATAAAAAAGGGAAACCAAGCTCACGTTTTATAACAAAATAGGAAAATAAAAAAAATAAAAAGGAAAATAAACTATTAAATATTTTAGCAAAAAATAAAAATATCCCCCCCCCCCCCACCACCTAAGAAAAAACAAAAGACTCGGAGGTATGGTATATACACCTCTTTTCCGTAACCTGTTCAACTTGATTTTTAAAATCTTTATCTAATTCTTCGTTCACAACAAGAGTCTTTTATCCTTTGTAATCAATTTGGCTAAAAAGACTTATCTATAAATACCCCATTCGCTTTTCACATGAAAACTAAGAAACATCACATATGTTACCTATAAATCTATAATTTACACACACATACACAAAACACAAATATATAAGATGTCTTGTTATAACCGAGCATTATTAATCGGCAACAAAGTCGTAGTTACACTTGTATTTCTCTTATGTTTGGTTCACTCATCAGAATCACTTCGGCCACTGTTTGCATGCGACCCGGCAAATGGGTTAACCCGGACACTCCGGTTCTGTCAGGTCAATATACCGGTCCACGTGAGGGTTCAAGACTTAATCGGACGGCTCACGTTGCAGGAGAAGATCCGCCTCCTCGTTAACAATGCCGCCGCTGTGTCACGCCTCGGTATTGGAGGCTATGAGTGGTGGTCCGAGGCTCTCCACGGCGTTTCCGATGTTGGCCCCGGAGCTAAGTTTGGTGGTGCGTTTCCTGGTGCCACCAGCTTCCCTCAGGTCATCACCACCGCTGCTTCTTTCAACGAGTCTCTGTGGAAAGAGATAGGACGGGTGAGAATAAATTAGGAAAAAATGTGCTAATTTGAATATACATTTTAAAACTGAGAATTATAAATTTTGTGAATTATTTACGTGGAAAATGACATTGTAGTGTTCGGTATATAACTGATATTGATTTTGTTAAAGGTTTCAGTATTTATATTTAACACGTCTGCTATAGTCAGTAATTAATACAATGATGGGTAAGCTAGCTATAATTAGTGAATAAAAATACATTTGTTATTTGACCAAAAAAAAAAAAAAATACATTTGTTATCATATCTATACGGATTGGAGTCAATATCTATTTCTTTCAATAAAACAAAGGTGTATGAAGAGATATATTAACTAGAATTGTCATGATTTAAAATAAATAAAAGGTGGTGTCTGATGAGGCAAGAGCTATGTATAATGGAGGCGTGGCCGGTTTGACATATTGGAGCCCAAATGTGAATATACTGAGGGACCCACGGTGGGGCCGTGGCCAGGAAACTCCCGGAGAAGATCCTCTTGTCACCGCAAAATATGCCGCCAGCTACGTTCGGGGACTTCAGGGCGACGGCGCCGGTAACCGCCTCAAAGTCGCCGCATGTTGCAAGCATTACACTGCTTATGATCTTGATAACTGGAATGGCGTCGACCGTTTCCATTTCAACGCAAAGGTAAAATCTTAAACACATTTGTATAAATGTAGAATGCCAGTTCTTAGAATTAGTATTTAGACATTATATATAATTGTCTTTTTGAGAACAAGTCTCATAATTGTCTAGAAATTAAAGATAACCAACACCAAAGTTTATGCAAAAAAATAAAAGATAACCATGAGTCTATTTTTCCTGCATCTTACTGGTTTTAAGTTAATAAATTTTCTAACATGAATGTTTCTGTTTAGAAAAAAATATTGTATATATGAAAACATATTGTAGGTTCTGCTGAAACATATATACTTATATATTTCCTCAAACTAGAACTTCTTTTTATTTTATCGTTTGTCTCGTTTCATGTTCAGATTCGTTCAGTTCAGAAAATAGCTCATATCTACATGTATATGTCAATCGTTAGTCGTTACTTATTTTTAGTTTCTGTAGAATATGCGTCACTCGTAATCTTGCAAAAGACTTTTCATCAGACTGAGCCGAAATTTATTATCAAGTAGGATAATATGTGTATAGGCATTAGGCACAAACAAAACACGTTCCTAACATAATATACCAATTTAGCCAATAGGCAGCGTGACTTTGAGCGATGTGGCATATGCGTAGTCTTATGTTTATAGTGGTGGAGAGTATCCTTATTGGTCATGTGGACCAACTAGGACAGACCTACTTGTCTTTTATCTTATTCTTCCAAATATATACTTTAAATTATATCATACCAGAATAAAAATTATTTTCTCTAATAAACTCAAAACATAATAATTTAAAAGAAAACTCATGAATGATGTGTATAACTTGAGGTATATAATATGTTTTTGTAAATATAGATAGCTAATAGGTAAGTTATTAGGTTTAGTTATTTAATAAGTTTATGATGGATACAGGTCACCCAACAAGATTTAGAGGACACATACAATGTACCATTCAGAGCTTGTGTTTACGAGGGAAATGTCGCCAGTGTTATGTGTTCGTACAATCAAGTCAATGGCAAGCCAACTTGTGCTGATGAAAATCTCTTAAAGAACACTATTCGTGGTCAGTGGCAACTCAACGGGTAAGATCAATAGTTATCAAGTCATTGATTCATATTCACTAAATCACTTCTCACACATCAGCTTAATATCACTGCATGCAGGTACATTGTATCAGATTGTGACTCGGTCGATGTTTTCTTCAATCAGCAACACTACACGGCAACTCCGGAAGAAGCCGCTGCTGCCGCAATTAAAGCTGGTAACTTGTTTTTCACCATGATGTCAAAATTCAATGCACAAGACTGGTCCTGAGATTTTTGAAACCATTAATAATATATTAATTTTTAACAATCTCTTTTAGCAGTTTATGGATATATGTACATTATATTAACTCGAAATTTTTTGGGATCCGAGACCAATATTTGAATTGAGTTAAAGGTGTACCCAACTAGTTTTGTGCACAGCTGTTGGAGAAAAAAAAAACTCACATTTGAAAGATAAAAAGAGACTTAAATAAAAGAGACTTAACTAATACTCATTCCATTTCATTTTAGTTGTTATTTTAAGTTTCTGTACATGAATTAAAGAAACATTTAATTTTACATATTTTCAAGATAAAAATATAATTACATATACAACTAACCATTTTTCAACCAATAAAAATAAAATATTATATAAAACTGATATTTTTTTCATCGAAACTCTAAAACGACACTTAATTTGTGACAAAAAAATTAAGCATAGAATGACAAATATTCTGAAACGGAGAGAGTATATAAGTGGAGTGATCCAAGTAACATAAGACTGTTCACCATTTTTGATAAAGAAACATCGTGTTGTTTTGTAGGTTTGGATTTGGATTGTGGGCCGTTTTTGGCAATCTTCACTGAAGGAGCTGTGAAGAAAGGATTGTTGATAGAGAATGACATTAACTTAGCACTTGTTAATACCATAACGATTCAAATGAGACTTGGTATGTTTGATGGTAATCTTGGCCCTTACACTAACCTTGGCCCTAAAGATGTTTGTACTCCGTCTCATCAACATTTAGCCCTTGAAGCGGCTCATCAAGGCATTGTTCTTCTCAAAAACGATGGCCGCTCTCTTCCACTCTCCCCTAGACTCCACCGTACCGTCGCCGTGATTGGACCTAACTCTGATGTAACTGAGACAATGATTGGAAACTATGCAGGTTGATAAGATAAATTCATTTAAAAACTATATTACTATCAGTTACAGAATACTAATTTTTTATTTGTAGGGAAAGCTTGTGCCTATACAACACCATTGCAAGGAATCTCAAGATACGTGAGAACACTTCACCAAGCTGGTTGTTCTGGCGTGGCTTGCGCAGGAAACCAAGGGTTTGGTGCAGCGGAGGTGGCAGCGCGTGAAGCTGATGCAACGGTTCTTGTGATGGGTTTAGACCAGTCTATAGAGGCAGAGACACGAGATCGAACCGGACTACTCTTACCGGGTTACCAACAAGACCTTGTGACCCGTGTGGCTCAAGCTTCTAAAGGTCCAGTCATTCTAGTTCTTATGAGTGGTGGACCTATAGATGTATCTTTTGCTAAAAATGATCCACGTGTTGCTGCCATTATATGGGCCGGGTATCCGGGTCAAGCCGGTGGAGCTGCCATTGCCGATATTATTTTTGGTGCTGTTAACCCTGGTACATTCCTGATCTAGTTACATTTTTTGGGTTTTGCTTAATTAGTATCGTTTAGAATCACATATCCAATATTGAAATCATAAACCGGGCTTCTAGCTCTAGTGGTAAAGAGTTTACAGCTGTGAGTACCGCTACCTGGGTTTGAATCCCGGCCACTGGGAATTAACATTTCGGCATCGCCAAGGATAGAAGATACCTCAGTATAATTTAAAATTAAAAAAAAATTGAAATCATAATTAATTATTAAGATGTATTGAATATTTTATGTATCTTTTGATAGGAGGAAAACTACCAATGACATGGTATCCACAAGACTATGTGGTGAAAGTTCCAATGACGTTAATGGCCATGAGAGCATCAGGAGATTACCCAGGAAGGACTTACAGATTCTATAAAGGTCCTGTGGTATTCCCATTTGGGTTCGGTTTAAGTTACACTACCTTCACTCACAGTTTAGCTCAAAGCCCACTAGCCCAATTATCGGTTTCACCACACAAACTCAACTCTGCCATTTTCAACTCCTCATCTAACTCCATCAAAGTGTCTCATGTCAACTGTGAAACGTTTCCAAAAATGCCTATCCATGTTGAAGTTTCAAACAAAGGTGAACTCGACGGAACCCACACGGTCTTTGTCTTTACCGAACCGCCAAAAAACGGGATAAAAGGTTTGGATGTGAACAAACAATTGATAGCGTTTGAGAAGGTTCATGTCACGGCAGGTGCAAAACGGACTGTTCAAGTCGATGTTGATGCTTGCAAGCATCTTGGTGTAGTGGATAAGTATGGTAAGAGGAGAATCCCAATGGGTGAACATATATTGCATATTGGTGACCTTAAACATACTATTTTGGTCCAACCGCAACTTTGACAAAGGCATATGAAAGAAAACAACAAATAAGGAAACCCTTTCAACGAAGTGGAGTGTTTCATAGAGAAAGATAGCTTATTTTCAGTCTACAATAGCACGGGTCGCTTCTTGGATTTGTGTGATTTATTTTCTAAGTTTTATTGTTTATCAATTTCCAAAGTTACTGTAACATTTAGACCAAAAAAAAAAAAAAACAAAGTTACTGTAACTTGTGTTTCCCACAATAAGAAAGCTACACAAGGAGCATTTGTTAAATGTTGAAAGCAAGGTTAAAAAATTATTTATAATCAATTTGCTGTCCATGCACCTCTCTAAATGATTCTTAGAAACGGTTATGATTCAAGGATCGATTAAGAAGATATACAGAAACCGAGAAACGCAAATATTATTGTGTTCAACACTGGTCATTGACTCATTGGTGGACTCGCAAGAAAACCTATAAAGGGTATGACCATAAGTGTTAACTTTCTTCTGTTTCTGTTCTTTTGATTCATGTTTGGAATTTACAGGAAAGATTATTTTCAGGAGGGAAATCGAGTTTACGATCAGTTAAGAGTGAAAGAAGCTTACATGAAAGCTCTTCATACATGGGCTGATTGAGTTGATTCCAATGACAACAGTTCCAGAACCAGACTCTTTTTCGTTGGTCACTCCTCTTCACATTGTAAGTAAGACTAGGTTTCTTGGAACCCAAGCAAACTCTGATTAGGGTTTAACTGCAGAAAAAGGGGATGAAACATGGTTTAGTGTGTGGAAGAGTTTTTTAGCTCAAGAAATGTTGTTTTTATTTAGGGTTTAGTGTGTGAATGAGTTTTGTTTTAGCTCAAGCAATCTTGTTTTAGGGTTTAGTGTGTTGATGAGTTTTATTTTACCTCAAGCAATCTAATTTTAAACTGTAGAAAAGGGGCGTGGAACGCAGGAGAGCAATGCGATAAAGAAACAAGACCGATACAGAACAAGACTTATACAGGAGGGTATCCATGGATGATGAAAGTGGTGGAATCAGTGATCTCGGAATGTGAGGAAATAACATATTTATATCAAGACCGACACAGAACAAGACTAATGTTCGTGATGGGCACCCTTCGGTTTACAGACAGCCTTTGGAGATACGAGGAAGTTCTCCTGCAACTGGAATGCTCCAGGATTGTAGCCATTGGTGCTTGCCTACAGTTCCAGACTCATGGAACCAGCTTCTTTATGCTACTCTGCTAGTTTCACGTGGTTTCTTGCCTTACAAGTCACTTGGAACTCTCTTGTAAGATGGTGGTTTTACTGTCTTTCTCTTTGACCAGCCAATCGTTTTTGATCTTTGCAAGCTTTTTTCTTTTTTGAAAAACACTGAGAAGAAATTATCTTATAGAGCGTCCACAATAGAAGTATTCAAAGAAGAGTTCTTAGAGAAAAAAAAATAACAAATCAGTGGATCCCACAAACAAAATTAAGGATTCAATCTTTAAAATTTCTAAATAAAGATTCATTCTTAACGAATCCTTGTACTATTTGCGGTTCTCCACGATACGTGGCAGTCGGTTGGTAATTTTTTTTTTTAGTTTGAAAAAAAATAATAATTAAAAAAAAAAATAATTCTAAAGAATCTAATGGGGTATCATCCCGTTGGAGATGTTGTAGTTAGTAAATATAGTTCAACTCCCCTAACAAAAAATAGCGACAGAAATAAATAGTTCTAGTTTTTGTTTTGTTTTCTGTGTGTAAAAGAATATACCATATTTCTTTCGGACGCATATTCGCTTGTCGTAGTTTTTGAGTATATAAACTATTGTATCTAACGTACACTTGATTGGCAATGAGTTCAAGTTCCAGCTTGTGCCATGTGCACCTGTATTACACATGATCGTGATGGGCTTCACAAACATTTCGATTATACCAACATTTTCTTTCTCTTTTTTTTTTCATTGGTAAATCGTGTGAACTGTATTCTTTTAACAAGCCACTTTTCAAAAAAAAAAAAAACTGTATTCCTTACACTAATCGTGAGGAAATATCCTAGCTTGTTTCATCACTCTCTTTTTAATTTCTATACGTATAATCGTATTTATTCGTATTAAACTACGATGGTTTACGTTGTGGCAACGGTCCACGATATAAAACATTGAAGAATCGAAGTTTGTTGGATATATATTTTTTTTCCTTTTCCATTTTTCAAAAGAAGTTGTTGACAAAACAAATTTCTTCTTCCTTTGGACATTCTCTTTTGTGGTTCATTTTTGGAGGACTTTTCAAAATTTATTGGTTTTGTTTGCAATTGTGTGTACATATCTTTCTCAAAAAAAAAAAAAAAAATGTTTGTGTACATATTTACATTTTCCTAATTTGTATTTCTTTATAAAAATCTAAACCAAAGGAATCCATGCATACTTTAGGAGTTTGAATTTTCTCAGTTAAAACAAATCCACATAAATGTTAGTTTTGAAGGATACCCTGTTAATGAAATCAGTTGTTCAAGTTGATCTTTAAGTAAAAATGTGTTAGAATTCTGATCATGGTTGATCTTCAAGGGTGTTCATTCCTGAAGAAAAATGTACTGCTTGATAGATATAATGTTTATAGCATAGAATTGTGTGTCTGTTATTCATCGACCAAGGTCTCTATATATACAACATAGTAAGCATTATCCTAACTAGGAATGGTAATACATGAATAACCCAAATCCCATAGATATAGGAGTTTATATTTATCCTAATCCTATTACTCCCCCTCAAGTTAGCAATGCAGGTGTCCGAATGCCTAACTTGGAGAGCAAATGATCAAATGTAGGAGTAGGTAATGCCTTCGTGAGGAGATCAGCTGGTTGATGTTTAGTAGAGATATGTTCCGTTGTAAGAAGCTGAGATTGAACCGCATCACTACTGTGTGACAATCATTCTCCACGTGCTTCGTCCGTTCATGAAAAACCGGATTCTTAGCAATGTAAATCGCTGATTGACTGTCACAGAACATACGCATTGGTTGAGGATGAGAAAAACCAAACTGCTTGAGAAGACGTTTTAGCCATTTGAGCTCGCACGTAGTATCAGCCATAGACCGGTATTCCGCTTCAGCTGATGATCTGGAGACCGTACGTTGTTTCTTTGTCTTCCAGGACACAAGGGAGTCACCAAGGAGAACAATATAAGCACTTAATGACCTTCGTGTGATGGGACAAGCCGACCAATCCGCGTCACAGTAAGCTGTCAGTTGCATATCACACTTAGAAGTCAGCATGATACCTTGGTCTGGAGTCCCTTTGAGATACCGAACAACGCGTAAAGCCGCCAGCCAATGATCGTCACGAGGCTTCTGCATAAACTGGGAGAGAAGATGAACTATATAACTTAGCTCAGGTCGGGTGAAGGTGAGATAAATGAGCCGTCCGACCAGACGCCGATACTTGCCGGGATCAGTCAACCATGGACTCTTGGAAAGAGGAAGCTTATGATTTAGCTCAGTCGGAACCGGAGCTGGTTTAGCCCCCAAGAGTCCACACTCAGCCACAATATCCAAGGCGTATTTTCTTTGTGAAACAAAGATACCATCAGGTCCGCGTGCAATCTCCAAGCCAAGAAAGTACTTTATTTTACCTAAGTCTTTCATCTTGAAGTTCTTGCTGAGGTAGTTCTTAAAACGCTGAATCGTAGCGATGTCATTCCCGGCTATGATGAAGTCATCGACGTACACCAAAATATGAAGGCAGATATCGCCTTGAATGAAAGAGAATAGAGAGTAGTCCTCATAGCTCTGAGTAAAGCCGAACTGAAGGAGAGCTTTGCTGAGCTTAGAGAACCAACAACGTGGTGATTGTTTCAAACCATAAAGCGACTTACGAAGTCGGCATACTTTGGATGGATCATTCGATTTGAAACCTGGTGGCAACTCCATGTAAATTTCCTCAGTTAAATCTCCATGTAAGAACGCGTTGTGGACGTCCATCTGATGGACTTCCCACCGCTTTGCTGCTGCAATCTTTAGGAGAAACCTGACCGTGTTCATTTTTGCTACGGGGGCAAAAGTATCGTTATAATCTCTGCCTTTCTTCTGTCTGTTGCCATGAGCAACGAGTCGAGCTTTTGGTCGTTCAATTGAACCATCCGCTCTATATTTGTTGGAGTAGATCCATTGACAGCTGATTGCCTTTTTCCCGGGTGGTAATGTAGTAACATCCCACGTCCGATTATCTTCCAACGCAGTAATTTCAGCTTTCATTGCTCCTTTAAACCGTGCATCCAGAATAGCGTCTTTGAATGTCTTCGGGACGTACTCAGAAGTGAGATTAGCGAGGAAAGCCTGATGTTTCTCAGAAAAAACAGAGGAAGATAAGTAGTCAGCTATAGGATACAGTGTAGTAACTGAAACCGTAGGTGGAGAACTCTGATCAGGTGAGACTTGAACGTGAGAGGGGTTTGTAGTAGCAGCATGAGTAACGTAGTTCTTTAGAAGAATAGACGGCTTTTTAGCTCGTTGACCACGTCCTAGGACCTCTGCTAGTCCCGGAGAATCGACATGATCAAACTCGTCTGACGGACTCGTAGGAGCTGTTGGTGATGTTGGTGGTGTGACCTGAGTAGTAGTAGCAGGAGTTGGAGATATCGCAGATGCAGGAGACGAGTTCTGAGTATTGGCAACATTCTCTGTTGACGCGGTAGGACTAGGAGACTGAGATTGTGGAAGAGACGAACTCCCCCTGGATTGCGCAATTGGTAGAATCCAATCATCAAATGCATTATCTTGCATAACAGGTGGTGTAACATACTCTGTGTTCTCAACACCAGGGAATGTATCTTCACAAAACACCACATCACGACTAATAAAAAACTCATTTGTTTCGGGATCGTACAAACGCCAAGCCTTCTTACCAAACGGGTATCCTACAAAGATACACTTCCGACTTCGCGCACCAAACTTGTCCTTATCTCTTGCTCGGCGATGTGCATATGAGAGACATCCGAATACGCGCAGTTGATCATACGCCGGAGGTTTGCCATGTAACACCTCATAAGGCG